AGCAGGAATTGAACCTGAGTGTATTGCCTTTTCTAAGTAGAATAGAAATCTTTTAGGGAAACCAGCTGTTTCTTGGTGTATTTATCCTGGTTATGCTTCTCTGTTGCATCTAAAACTTCCTCTTTTATTGCCTTGTGCTCATCTTTTCATAGTTTTAATTATAAGAATGATTGTCACTTTTATAATTTGGATGGAACTTAGCTTTGCCTTTTTTTTCTTAAGTTGTTATCTCTGATGGCCCTGAGAGAGTTTTGTGACGTTATGCTGAATGTGAATTCTGTGGTATTGTTCCTTACCACAGTTAATGACAAAGGAGTCTGGTTATTTGATTATTAAAGCTGGTTCAGTGATTCCTAATGTTTTGGCCTTGATCCAGACACTGAAGGTTAATTAATCATATACAGTGCTTCTCTTTGCAATGAGAATACAGATTAGTTGTTTCTTTGTGCGTTACAAAGGATCAGAGAAACTGAACCTAACCTGTGAACTTAAATCTTTCCAGCTAGCCTGTCTAAATCAGAGTCACTTATGCATGTTACATGGTGTATAAAATTCATCGTGTCGAGAGAGATCTTACACTTCTATTGACCCATTATTTCCTGGAGAGATGGGTATTTTTGCGTTGAGATTCCAAGTGAATCTGCATGAAATTAGTCTTAAGATGCTTAAGTCTGACATTCAGGCTTGCCTTTTTTCTTTTTTCTTTTTTTTTAAACAAGCAGGATGTAAACATTTTTCTGTACTTTTTTTACAAGATTACAATTACATAACCTGTACACGTTATTAACTTCAACTCTTTTTTCCCTTGCAACCGACTATACAGCGACCAGCTACATTTACCAAAGCCTGGGTGATGTGGAGTGGTACATAAAGATGAAGCTGTCGTCATGGCAACAGTGAGTGAAGTATCGAAAATCCCCAAGGAGAAGCCAGTGCTCTGAGAATAGGTCACTGGAATCGGGGGACAAACAGGTTGGCCGCTGGTGAACCATTTGGAAGAACTCCTGTATCTTGTTATAAGCTTTTTTCTTTGCTGTCCAGGTTTTATAGAATTCTAGTTGATCTTTTTTTTTTTTTTTTTTTTTTTTTTATTTTTAGATTTAACGTTTGGCACATTTTTTTTTTTTTTTTTTTTTTTTCTTAAATCTGAAGCTAACAGTTAGGCCATAGTTAGTTTCTCACACACAACCCAAAACTGAAACAACCAGTTAGGATGCTGTACTTTCTTTTCACCTTTAGTCTAGTATTTCTGTTAACTGAAGCTCTTAAGCTGCACATGAAGTTTGAGGTAGTTTCAGTAGGCTTGCTTGCTTTCCTGAACAATTTTGGGTTCTTAGTTCAACTTTCTGGCTCTGTATAATTGCAGTTTTCCTACTAAAACATGCTTTTACAAGGATACAGAAGTCTTGAATGTGTAAAGCTATATATACACACACACATAAACGGTAATGTAAGCAGTCCCTTGTATGTAAGTGTTTGCAGAACTGGGAATTGCGTTAGAATTTTCTTTTTACAAGACCTGTGGTCAACTGAGTTACTGATAGGTGGTATTTCTAATGCTGAGAAATAAGAAAAAGCTGAAAGTGTTTTCAACAAACACATTTTCTTATGAATCTTTCATGAGCCTATGTCATGGAGTATTGCATGTAAAATTGTGTGCATGGAGAAAAGCTCGTGTTATGAACGAAAATTGCTTTATAAATGTGTGCTGAAACATCTGTTTTGAGCCAAGTACAACCATTGTTTAACATGCAGAATATAGTTGGAAGTTGATTTTTTTTTTCTTAAATTTATATGTGCCTGAAAGCTACAGAAAGTCCTTATGAGGCTTCAACCAATTGTGACTTGTTATATAATCTTACAAATGTTGGTTTGAGATGTTGAGTCAGCTACTCTTTACTTCTGTTGCAGCAATCAAATAGGGTTCGTGCAGTTGTGTTGGGAGTAAAATTTGCCTTGTTGGTGGCCTGTTCTAAATAACAACACTTAGTGTTCTTAAAACTGTTCTATAAATCTACAGTGCTTGTATTTGCAATGTTGGAGACAGATAAAGCATTCTCTTTTTTCTCATGTTGACTGGCATAAGAGATTTCTGATCTTTGAAATGAGATGCTGATGTTATGCTGTACTTATTAGAAGTATCTTTTATATTATAAACAACTACATGCAGGTCACCTCTTCGTTCAACATGTTAGGCATTCCAAAGACATGGAACTTCTAATATTTCGCCTAATAAAGCTGTAGTTGTGTAGAGAATTAAGGTTTTGTTTGTCAGAGGGGATTAAAAGATATTTGGAATTTGTGTAAATCGTTACAAACATGTTACAGTATGTGTTTATCCTGTGGGTTGTTATGCTATCTCTAAATCCAGTTGAAGTTTCATGACTAAGTGCTGGATTGACCTATCAGAATGGGCCCTCTATGCTCTGTTTTTCAAGTATGAAGTCTTGCACTGAGCTCTAGTGCTGGTTTATAAGAACAGGTTATTTAATACAGTATACAAAGTAAGAATTTGAAATATCTTGTGCTTATATAGGGCTTGATGCTTATATTTCATATATAGGCTTATAAATTATTTTTCTTGTATTACTTGGACCTAAAATGATTACTTTTTGGACTGAGAAGTAAGTGCAGCAAGTACAGTATGGAAGTTCCTTCCCTCTCCCCTTGTTCTCACTAGGAAACAGGCTAAGAAGTTTTTTCAAAAGGAAATCTCTGAAGTTTGCAGCTTTAAAATAATTACACTGACTAACACTGGTGTTCATGGTGGAAGTGCTAAACTGATAAATCTTGTAGAAAGAGGAACATCGCTTTTGTCAGTATTAAGGTGCAGTCAAGTCTTACGCAGATTTATATTTTTGCATAAGTGAATAAAAGGTTGCCTTTATTTTTCTATTCCTGGAAATACTGTCTGGAGACACTGTTTTCCAAGTCTCTTAGATCTGTAGATCCATAAAAGTTTTATGTCCTAGGCAAGCATGATAATTTGGGACAGTGGAGTAATACACACGTGAAAGTGTCTTACTCTCAAGTTTCCTATTACTTTGGTGTTGAATTATCAAAATATATAACCAAAGTATGAACTGGTTGTGCTAACCCTATTGTCCTGTAGAAGGACAGTGGAACTTAAAATGCTGTAAGCTTTGCAGTCTTTCCTGTTGCACTTCTAGCCTAGCTGCCTCCTTTTGTCTTCATAATGCTTTATTATATGACTGTTAGAGAATACAAAGACATGGAAGGCAGTGATCCTACTGTGAGTTGTTACAATGATCACATGCAGTTGTGTTGCTCCACTGCTGATGTTTAGTTTGGAAGTTCTAGCTGCCTTAGATGTTTCAGCTAAAGTTTCCTCATTGCTTCTGATGAAATGTTCTTATTATAAGATAAATTGAGCCTGAACACACAAAACTCTTGTTTCTGCTTTGTTATACCTTGCAGATCCTGTTACATTAGAGATCCATAAATACTGTGCAAAGGAGTATTGGGGAAAAATGCTTCTTTAAAAAACAAAACAAAACCAACTGTAGTTGATTGAAACTGACCCGTGCCCAATTTCACTGATTTGAAGAACTTTTAACTTGGTTCTTCTAGTTTTCCACTCCAAAGCAGTTACTCTGCCTTTTCAGTGTTTCCAGTGAATATTAAGATGAAATCGTAGGCTTTCTGCTGAAGTGGTCACCTTAAAGAAGCTTTAGAAGTTCTTCTGCAGTTACTCTTCTAAAATAATACATATTTTGACTGGGGTGTTGCCTTTAGAATGGATGAAAACACAAACTCAATGCCCTCGTCCTGATGAGTCTTAAGCATTACTTAACTAGAGAAGTGACTCTTAAGTAACATGGAAAACGTTCCCTTCTTCAGGAAACAGTAGTAACAAGATAGTACTCAAACCAGACATGCTTCCTGGCATGATGAAGCTGCAGAACTTAATTTCAAACCTCCCGTGAGCTGCCTCTCAGCCCTTCAGAAAGAGCAGGGGTAACTTGTACTTAGTGCAAGGATATGCAGCATAATGTTTTTATTTCAGGGAAGTGGAATGGCTTGTTGTATCCTTTGGCTAACAGTAATAAGCATCCTTCCAAGTGACTGCAGGAGCCTTAATTAGCACAAATTGTGGCTTATCAGGGTGTTTGAACTGTAGGAGCCCTTAAGTTAGCCTTAGCCTTGTGATTCAATTGATGTTTTCTTCCTTGAAAAAGAGAGATTTTTAAGTGCTCCTCCTTGCTGGGTCACAGCATGGAAAGTGTGATCCACTTGTGGAACTTGCGTTAAGTCAAAAAGACAAGTTAATGGTTAAATACTTATCTAGTAAAACAAACGTTGTATTTTGAATCCCTTTTGCATTCCTTTTTTTCTATTCAAGATAACCTAAAATTTGTTGCCAGTGCTTATGGTCCACTAGGTTTATAGTGCAAACAGCCTGTGGCTTATTAGAGTGTTAACAGTTGCTCATAAACATTTTTCTGAGTTAGAAAACATAGGCAAATATGGGAGACATATTACAAATAAGGAAAAAGCTCATCTCTTCCTTCTTGTTAGGGATTAAAATGCAGCATAGGGAAGGATGAAAAGTCATACCTAAGCTTGTTCAAAAAACAACAACAAAAATTTTTGCATAAGCTATACAGCAGGTTCTTTTGGTTATGGAAATCTTTTGGAGAATTCAGGCAGAGGATTTGGAAGGAACTAGAAGTTGATTCGATAATGCTGGACTTGCTTTCTGTTTGAAATGACCTATTGCTTTGCAAATGGTACAAACGGCAAAAGTAACATGATATCGTGTCCAGTGTTCAGAATCAGAGGCGCAACTTAAAAGTTGTTTGTCACAACTTAAGATAAAATTCTTTCCTTTATTAGGCTTTTTCGTATATCATAGTAGCAGGTCTATCTTGTTCTGTCTCAAGATCTGAATAATCTTGTCTTTTGGTGTGTAGGAAACTGCAGTGTATAAAGCACAAACTTCCTGCTTTAATTTAAACTGTTGAAAACCTGGCTTACCCTTGCTTTGAAGTACTGACTAGCAGAGGTAACTGTATCACCTGCCTTCCCCCCACCTTCATTGTTAAGCGTAAAGGTACTCTGAGATCTTCACTACAAACTTCACTTTTGTTCCTGCAACCTGATAGGTGTAGTTTGCATACACGGTAGCGAAAGATTATTGTTCATCTTTAGCCCTGTTATCTGTAGCTAGTTAAAAGCAGAAACTAAACTAGTTTAGGTAAACTTGGACAGCACAAGATTAATGCTTAAACTTGCTTGCAGGAGTTGAAAACCGGTTTCTGTTGCCATTAGTTGGTTGGAAGGGAAAACAGAGTGCTACTATTTTGGATATGCAAAACAGTTTTGATTTTATTTCTTGCAAACTATAGGACTCCAAGCCCCCTGATACTTGATCAGAACTACATAAACACCAAAAATCAAGTAATCAAAGCAGAAAGGAGGGTACTGAAGGAGTTGGGATTTTGTGTTCATGTCAAGCATCCTCATAAGGTGAGTTTTCAAAAAATAACTAAATGTTGTTCTGTCGTGATGGCATCATTGTGAAGTGTGGGACAAGAAACACAGACTTAAAAATGACTTGGTTTCCTTTTCTTTGTTCCTTAGTAGTCATCAGGAATGCTCTTGCCAGAATGCTTGGGCAAATAGCCATGTTGACTTTGGTAGAAAATACTTCCATGTGAAATGTTAAAGGTGACAGTTTTTCAGAGTTATGTATGATAGTAAAATAAGAGTTGACTGAGTGTGATTGGATGACATATGGGCTTACACTGTATGCTTAGAAAGCAGAGGAGACGCCACTGTTTTGGAGTACTCTTTGGTTATAAACAGTTACCTAACTACTGTTTTCTATGTTAAAACTGAGTCTTTTTTTTCTTGTCTCCCAGATCATTGTTATGTATTTGCAAGTCTTAGAATGTGAACGTAATCAAACCCTGGTACAGACAGCCTGGTAAGTTGTTGTTTTCCATTCTTTTCCTAGCCAGGAAAATAGTAGCAGAAATAACAAGCCTGATGATCCATATGCAAAACAATGAGATGTAAGTTATTATATAGAATATATACATTTTTAATGTGTGTTAGTGCTTGTTTCTGCTTACTATTTTCATGGCTTGATTCAACTACTTTCATGGAGAACTCAATTTAACTTTGTTCTTTTTTCTACTCTTTAATTAAAGGGTAGTCCATGATGGTAAGTCATAGAGCTCTGCCCTCTGCACCTCAGCCCATGACCTGGGGATGGCCTGTTTGGCTGCCCTTCTCTCCAGCCAACCCAGTGCAAGCTCTCATCCGAGATTCACTGAAGTGGTCCATATCCATCGGGCAGCATCTTCTAGTTCTGTCTGGGTGTCAAAAGGATTTGTATATTTGCTTTTAGAAGTAACTGTTCAAAATGTTTCTAAATGTATTTGTTGCCTAGCTACTACTGTATACTGTAGTGTATTTAAAGGGCACATGGACACATTTCGTAGACTTTTTGAGAACATGACTTTAGTTGATTTAACCAGTTTGCTAAATTTGAGTTTAAAAAATTGCAGTGCATGCAGCATGCTCACGTAGAAGCTATATTGGGCACTGTTTCCTATATAATCAATACTTACTGACTGCTGTTTGTTTCTTTCCTGTAGTTCAGGAACTTAGAAATCATTGGAGATCTCTGCTGTTTAAACATAGCTCTTGGCATGTCTTGCTTGGCAATGCCATCGTGCTGGAAGAGAAGTATTTTAGTGAAGTAGGAGGTTGACTACTAACCTGTAGATCTTTTTCCAACATGAAGGTGTTAAGCTCAACGAGCAAATTGGATGCTTCTCTGGCTGGATGAAGTTAATGTTACTCAAGGCACAAATAGGATTTAAATGCAATGTTCTATGAACTTTATAGGCTGTATCCAGCCTCTGGAAAATGGTAGGTTATAAATATACTATGCTTACATGCTTGCATTTTAGTTTTAAAGATACTTGTTTTGAAATAACAAGGATAATGGTGTTTAAAGCAAACAGCTGGACAGATAGAAAGTACTTTTCAGATTGTTAGCTCAATGGACACTTCATAGTGTAATTGATGTATCTAGGAAGAAAATATTTGATATTACTTGCATTGGGATTTCCAAACAATGGCAACGGTGCACGCTTTGTTACAGAAGTAACAAGTGTAAACATCAAATATGGTAGTTCTAAAGAAACCAAATGTTTATGATATTAAGAGAAAAAATAATAAAGTCAATTGAGTCTCCAGTATTATCCTCTGAATTAAAAAGACCTAAACCTGAGATATAACCTTTCACGAACTTCTTCCTTTTTTTTTTTTTTTTTTAGGAATTACATGAACGACAGTCTTCGAACAAATGTATTTGTTCGTTTTCAGCCAGAGACTATAGCGTGTGCTTGCATTTATCTTGCTGCTAGAGCTCTGCAGGTAAGAATTAACCTATCTTTAATTCTTTAACATTGGTTTTATTGCTAGTAAATTGGTTTCCAGAAAGTATTAGTGAAACTACTTAAAATAAAGCATTGTCTTTAATATCTATTAAGACTTGGTTTTATTTTCAGATTCCACTGCCTACCCGCCCTCACTGGTTCTTGCTCTTTGGTACCACAGAGGAAGAGATTCAGGAGATATGCTTAACAACTCTTAAGCTCTATACTAGAAAGAAGGTAACTTTCAGGTTTTTGTCTTCTCCAATTCGTTGTTCAGTGCAGCTTGACCTGCCTTATGGTTGTCTCACCATTTGGGAATGCCTCTTTACAAATCTGCTAATCTGAAAGGCCGCACTGTGTGATTGCTCCCCTCTTTAGAAGAATGAATGAGAAAATGAATGACAATCTGGTCATGTTGCTGGGCAGGTGATTAAAAGGTGCTGGAATATTTTTGAAAAATGAGATTAAGATGTGGATCATACTAGTTCATACTAGTTCAAATTCTTACCGCTCTGTTACTCTTTTTAACAGCCCAATTATGAATTCCTGGATAAAGAAGTAGAAAAGAGAAAAATGGCGCTGCAAGAAGCTAAACTGAAGGCAAAAGGTTTAAATCCTGATGGAACTCCAGCACTCTCAACGTTGGGTGGCTTTTCTCCTGCATCCAAACCATGTAAGTTTGTTCTCTGTACAGAAACTTGCATCTCATTGTTTTTTGGTATTCTGCATAATCTGTGTCCTGATGTATTAAAAAAAATGCAGGTTTACTCAATGAATTGTTAGCTTAGACTTACTGTTTTTAAACCCTAATTTTAAAACCAGTTATTGCTATCTTGAAACAACAAATTAGAGGAACACTGTAGAGGCTTCACTTTTTCATGAAATAATTCCGTTAAGGGATCATATCATTAATCTCTCTCTCACCTGTGGAAGTAAATAGTAAATAGTAGAAGTGTCTAGACCCATCTTAACTGTTAATGTGTTATGAAGAGATTCGTTGGACTTGATCTCTTTTGGAGGGGGTCCAATTGCCTTTGCTTTCTTTTACAGCAGGTGTTTCTGAAAACTTTCACTGGAGGGTTTTGGCAGGGGGTGGGGTTCACTACTGCTCCACTACAATGGAGGAGCACAACTTGTGGATGAGAACAGTCAGGAAATGGAGAAAGTAAAGTCTCACAGTGCTGTTTTTGCATTACAGTAGACAAATTACTATAGCATGTATCTTGAATCAGTCAATAAATAAAGCTGTTGAACTTTAATGATCTAAAGAGCAAAAAGTTCTGCCTTGGCACTTCTCCTACTTAACTCTATTATTGATCTGTAAACTATCAGCGGACAAAAGGGCACGGTGAGCTTTGTTCCAGCAATGATAGGTAATGCAGAAGGCGCAGACACTCTTTTTCTCTGTGGTCTCTGCAGGAACTTGAATATACTCCAAGAAAACAATATTTGTTTGTAACAGTAGTTTCTCTGAGAACTATGTGTCTGAGCTTCCAGAGGTCTTTGAGCTGGTGTGTGTAAACTTATCACTAAAGGATGAAAGCCTTCTCCTGCCCTTCCCCTCCCCGGAAGGAGGAGCTTAAGTAGAAGAGTTTGAGTGAAAGTAGGACCCATGGAAAGTAAGTGGGGTTTTAGAAGGTCTCTTAGCTGACAAACTGAGGGCAAGCTTCTGACAAAAAGTTAATTTTCTGTATTTTTACTTAAAACCTTTTGGGCCCTATTAAATGGGGAGGCTGCAGACTAAGTCATAATGCAGCACCTCTGTCTTAATGTCAGCAGGCCAGATACAGGTGTGTAGTTCTTATGTAGTAGCTCTTCCATGAAAATAAGAATCCATATTTGGATTACATCAGCCTTGTCTATATGGGCAGGTTGGCTTTGCAACGTACTTGGTGATGTAACAAGTAATGGCCTTCCAAATATAAGGTTTTACCTAGCTGACACTTCTTCCTTGGGTTGTCTTTTGATGTGGGCTATGAACTAGATAAAGCTTTTTCTTTACTCGTTATATTTGTACTGTTAAATCTAGAAATGAAATCTGCAATTCTGCTTTTCAGTCCCAGTTCTTTCTATCACATTGGAAGTGAACAGTCCAGGTAACAAGTTATGTGTTTGTGGGACCATAAACTCAGATTTTTATATCGTAGCACTTGAGACTTGGTCTACTGGGACCTAAATGTGACCTCAAGCCAAGCAGCAAGGCTCGGTATCCTTCCCCCCACCTCCTTCAAATTTTGAGAAGAGTGGAGATACGGAAGATCATACTAGCGAAAGTCTGCTGTTCCTGCTAGATAGAAAGGAAGAAGAGATCTTGTGCTCTATTTCAACTCTTAATGCTTTCTTGAGCAAAAGATAGTGAATACAAAAATTGTTTCAGTAAGTTGAGTATATTGGTATCTGTTTGGTCAGCTGGCTTTAAAATACTATGAGTCTACTCATGGGCACTCCAAAATTGTCTTCTGGAAGTGTACTATAAATATAAAGAGAATGAAGTAGTAGCTATTTAATATTAACACTTTATGCAGATATTCATAAAGGTACATAAAGAATACAGTACGTTGTTGACAAAGTTTGTGAGATATCTACCTAATATTGAATTATTTAATTCTTAGCTTCCCCAAGAGAAATAAAGACTGAAGAGAAGAGTCCAGTATCTCTGAATACCAAAACCATTAAAAAAGAGCCAGAAGAAAGGCAGCAAGCTGCAAAGAGCCCTTACAATGGGTAAGTAAAAATCAGATTAAGAGAAGACTTCTGTTAATTTAAAAAAGGGGGGGGGAAGGTTCTTAACTAAAATACAGTGAAGTACTTCTGAGGTACTTGTCATTTTCATAAAGTAACTTAAAAGTGTAAACCTGTTTTTTTAGTATGTCTGTCTTCCCTCCCTAAGCATGAGAAAAGAAAGCAAGAGAAGTAGGAGCAGCAGAAGTGCTAGTCGATCTCGGTCAAGAACAAAGTCAAGGTCTCGATCTCACACTCCTAGGAGGCAGTAAGTATTTTTTTTTGTTTGTTTGTTTTTTGTCCCAGTTGCTCTGGGATATTTTTCATGTCAAAGTAGTAAGACCGCTCTGCATTCCATGTTAAGATGCTTGTCCTAAGCACCTACTGCTGGCCAACAACAAGAGTGCGAGTCTTAAGTCACACTCCAGACTCCCAGTTTTTGATACTAAGCTGTTCTGCTGGTAACTGCAATCAGTGTGGAAGTCAGAATGCTTAACGGTATAGTAAAGTGTGCGTTCAGAGAAAGGTGTAGTCTGTTGCAATGGTCTATAGTGGAGTGGGTGTAAGAAGGTTCGAACCTGCTAATGGATACCTATGGAAATTGTTTATCAATGAGAACCTTCTCACAGAATTCAGTCAGCTCTTAAGAGTAGTGATGAAGGCCTTGGAAAGAAGCAAACTTCATATATTGCAGCTTTCCCCCAAACGTGTGGGAGAAGTGTCCTGTTGGTGCAGATGGGTGTTAGGTGATGTGCTGTCTGGCTCTTTAGTACTTTCTCTCTTACTGTGGCTGGAGAAGAGATGGGAAACTGCCAGTGAGTAGATAATGCAGTGATGATTGCTGGCATTATTTTTTAAGAATCCTCAGATGGATATCTAAGGTGGGAACTGCCAAGTTGGATCTCAGTAAAATGTTCCTCTAAGTATTATTGACTCAAGTCACTGAAGGAAAAAGGCAGTATCCGTTTTTCAGTCTGATGTTGAGGGAAAGGTTCTTAACAAGGTAGAAAGAAGTTACTAAAGGAAGTACATTCTGGTTTGGGGATTGGTTTTGGCTTTTTTGTTTTTAAAGGAACTAATCTCAAAAAGGTGTGTTCTGGGGTTGTCACTATTATTCATCATAAATACCCCTTTGGGAGAAATACTCCTGTGTTTTCTTCCAGTAACTGGAAAGATTTCATAAATAGGAAAAAACAAGCTTTGCTTTTTCTGTGAAAGATGTTTCAACTTTAACATTCTTCTGTAAGCTACAATAATAGGCGGAGTCTGTCTGGGACATACAGTTCAAGATCAAGAAGCAGGTCCCGCAGCCACAGCGGCAGTCCTCGCAGACATCACAATCATGGCTCACCACACCTGAAAACCAAACATAGCAGGGAAGAGTTGAAGAGTGCAAGTAGACACGGTCACAAAAGGAAAAAATCTCGTTCACGTTCCCAGAGCAAATCCAGGGATCATTCTGATGTTGCCAAGAAACACAGGCACGAGCGGGGACACCACAGAGACAGGCGTGAAAGATCCCGCTCCTTTGAGAGATCTCATAAAGGCAAGCACCATAGTAGCAGTCGTTCAGGACACAGCAGACACAGACGCTGAGTTTTGAGCCTGCACCAGATTCTAGTTGAGCCTGTATATAATACAGTAAATGGACTCCTATTGGAGAACAAAGAAACCGATTAGGATTTGATTAATTTAAAGCCCAATATCTAATTTTCTAAAACATGTAGAACATTTTTGTTTTGGGGGGGGGAAAAAACTGTTACCAACTTTTGCACATAATACCTTAGCAGTATCAAATTGATGGAAAACAATGATCAGGTTAAATTGTATGTATTAGAGTTGTGTATTGTTTATCAATATGAGAACTGGAGAATGGATTTCTGTAAAAGAGCAGAACATACCTTATTTTTATACAAGCCAATTGCAGACACTTATATTTAAGTATAGTTATTTGTTTAAACGATGGTGGATACTTTCTTACACTGGTTTTAGTCTGCATGTGTTAAAAGATTTTTACAAGAAATAAAATATAAGGCTTTTTTTACTGCCTGTTGAATGTCAAATTTAATAATGCTATCAAAAATTTTCTTGGATCCGCTTACTTTGACCTTTGCTTGTTACTGGGAATATTGAAATGGTTCTACCACAAATGAAACCTTCAGAATACTCTAGAGGTAACTGCAGAAGCTTTAGAAGACACTGGTTTTGTGTCCTTCATAGGAGGGGCCACTAGTAAACCAGTTATATTTCTGGCACGCATGTAACAATTGCAATAAATGAGTGCAGATGTCCATGTGAAGCTTAGTGGGACAAAGCAGCTGACTGGGCAAACAGCTGTGGAGGAGGTGCCCTTCACAGGCTACAGAAGGAAACTCTAGTCCAGCTTTCCTGTCAGCTCTCATGGTGGGGGGGGAGGTGGAGACTGTCCCCTGTTAACAGCACCTCCTCCGGCTGCTTCCAGCAGGAGCTAACCTGTTGCTGCTGTCTGTTCTCTTCATCAGAGCCAGGCCTGGTGGTGCAAGAACTACAAAACAGGATTAAGTAAGAACCTACCTGGGGTGATACAGTGGGGGTCTCATCTCATGATTGTTGGTAGCGTGGTGGTGGGAAGGAGGAGGCTTCTTAGTAAACTACTCTAAGAAGCAGTTAGCTGAGTTCGTGGCTGCAAGTACTCCCTGTGGTTTGCAGGCTGAGAAGTCTATTGAGTCATATGTGCCTTAGCTCAGTGTTCTCCCCCACCAGGGGTGCAGCTGGTAATTCTGCCCCAGCTCTTCCCGTTCAGCTGTGCTGGTGTGTACAGAGCTGACAGATCTGTCAGAAGTCTCTGGCTGTGTAGATGTGCAGCATCCCCCCATGCCTGCTGGTTGGCTCCTGTTGCTGGGCTGTGTCTGGTTGTGCTGCCACAGTTTGAGAGCTCATCCTGTTATTGCACTTGGGGAAACTGATCTGTCTTAAATTAACATGTCAGCTGTGCTGGTGCAGGCTGTAAGATTAAAATCGGGTTGTTACTGGAAGCTCAGCCTTCTGCCAGAGGGAACGAGGATTGCTCGGTGGTGGTGTTCTCGTACTCAATGCCACTGGACAACCCAAACCTGTAAGCGTGTAAAGGAAATGGGGGTGGGGGAGGGAGAGAGGGAGGAAGAATTGATTTGGTTCCTTCAGCAGTTGTTCAGATAATAGCAATGCAAAATCTGAAGCCTGAAGGTGCAAGGTAAGTGTCTACTCTCTTTGGGTCCTAGACACTAACCTGGGAGTCCCCTTGGATATGGAAACTGCTAATGCAGCATAAAAAGATCTCTGCTCCCATCAGAAGTATTCTCGCAAAGTAACTTCTTTGCCTGAGGCTGACCTGCCTGGTTTCATTCAGCTACAGCATGGGAGAGGAGAAAGCCCAAGCAAGCTGGTAACTGGCTGAAATGGGTCTGGCCTCCTGTGGCACTGGAAGAGGAAGTGCTAGTTTCTGTGGTCAAAAATTCTGGAGACTTGAGAAAAGGGGGGGGGGGGGGGTCACGTTTTCCGTCAGCGGGTGGGGAGAATGTGCCAACGTCTTCAAAAGCTTCACTGAAGTTGTTGTATTCATGTAAGCAGCTACCCCAGGGTCCTGCCAGACTTCTGCTTGAATTTGTTCTTTCGAAATGCAAAAAGTAAACATACTTTTTCAAAAGTGGGAGAAGATGAGTGTGTTCCATAGTTGTTTCTTGGTTACCTCTGGTTCTAAAACAGCAGCTCGTAAACTGCAGCAGCTTGAGCTCTTCTGGCATGCGTGCTGTTTGCAGGAAAAGTTGCATGTTATTTAGGAAACTAACCTTTTTCTAGATGCCAGGATTCAGATAGTCTAGCATGGTTAAAAAAAATCCAGTTTTAAAGTAGCAGCACAAGTGGCTCAAGCCTTGTAGAGGGTCAGAGTTTGTAGATGAGAGTGAAACATTAAGGAAGAGGGCTCAGCCTCTGTATTTGTGTTCATGAATAAGCACTAATTACCCTTTTCTCCTCCCAGTGCCCATTAGCTCTCTTTACTCCAGAGCACAAGTTAACTTCCATGTAAAGTTGGGACATCTGGTGATGTTAAATGTCTAGACACCATCTGCTGTAGATTGCTTACACAGTGACTTTGCAGTCAGCCAGCACAAGTTGAGTGTTTGTCTACTCTTTCATGGGGGAAAAGATGTCTGCAGTCAGCTTTGTTGATGGTGGTCTTAATCATGTAACATCTCTGCTAAAGGCAGTCTGTAAAATAATTTCTTTGCATACAAAACACGTAAGAAGCAGATTCATCTCAAAACCCAAATAAACTAGGGTTGCTGTTCTAAAGAAGAAAATGTACTGGGTTTCTGAGCGATTAAAAAAGCACAAACTGAGCGTTGAACTGGTGTTCATCTGGCTGTATTTCTGTCCTTATGCAGTGCGTGCGTGGGCTCCTGCTAACGGGGCAGAGTGCTCTGAAAGCAGGACGGTGGTCCCTCACAGCTGTAGGCTATTGAGCTGCACTTCCCTAGCTGGCTTTTTAAAGAAGAAAACTTGTGGAACACCAAGCTTCTGAGCAAGCTGCAGCTTTTAAATATTTGAAGATACAGCATGGACTTGTCCCCGGTGGTGGCCAAGCTGCACTCAGGAGCAGCAGTTTCATCTAAACTTGCTGTGTTAGGCTAGCAGGTAACTCCCCGAGCGAACGTGGGCACGCACAGCTGTGGCTCGAACTGCCCCCGCTGGCCGGGTACGGCGGTGCTGGGCGCAGCGGGTCTGGCTGCCTGGGCTCTGCTGCTGTGCGCCTGGGTTGCAGCCGGGTGAGCTTCCCCTTTCCTTTGTGTTATCCCATGCTCGAGTATCGGTTGCAAATTCCTTACTTTTTCATGCTCGACTGAATGGGAAGAAAGCTTTTCTCCAGAAACTGCTGTGCCATGTGGGCTGGAGGGGAGAGGAGAGCAGCGGTGGCCAGGAGGGGAAGGGTGCGGGCAGCAGGGGCAGTTAAAATATCGGCATTTTCAACAGAACCAGAATGTGAAACGGCAGCTAGCTCCCAGCAGCAATGCGTGCACGGCACAGGTCATGCTGAGAGCCAGCGTTACCTGCGGATGAACTCGGTTAAATGCCTTTAGTAGACTTTCACCAGGGCCTTGCTCCGCTGCATCGCGTTCCAGCGCTCGGGCTACCGGGGAGTAACTATCCATTTAAAAATACAACGGAACGTAAGCAAAAGTCTGGTTTGTGGGTGATGCTGTTACTGTTACAACTAGAGCTTGTATTTCTCTCCCAGGATTTTGAAGTGCTGTTGCATGTTTATTAAACTCTTAATCACAAAAATTAGTAACTTGAGGGTTGCTGCAGCACCTGCACCGGGTGGTCGTGCTTCGGAGCTGGGCACTGTATGCCACAGTCTGAACTGTGTCAGATATGACACGGGGTCTCAAGCGCCCTATGCAGAGCTCTTATTTTTCAGAGTCGGTCGCTGCGCGCTTTGCTTCTGTTTTCTGTAAGGAGCTGCAGATGCGGAAGGTGCTGACTGCTCTCTGTCCAAATGCGTCTATCAAACGAGTCCAAACGTAGCTGTTTCTCATGCAGGAAAGACAGAGTCAAGCTAGTCCCTTCCAGGCGGCTGCCCTGATGGTGCTGAGCAGGAGTTCAAAGTGCTAAAGCCTCTTCCCAAAGCAAAGAGTCGCCTTGACGATCTGCTGGTCTTCTGTTGTCGCCCGGGCGCGTTCCTCGCTCTGCAGAGCGTTGCCCTGGAGGACACGCTTGCACCCTGAGACAACGTCCAAGCATTCGCCTTTTGGAGTAGAAACGCTTTTATGGTTAAAAATAAGCTCTGTAATATGCCACCGCAGTGATATTCCCCCCTGGAAACCCATGCGGCTTTCCTGGCACCCGGGCCGTGCTGCAGCACAGCACAGGTTTCCTTCCTCCCCAGCCTCTTACACTGGATTTATTGTGCTTGTTCCTTCATCAGGACTGACAAAAATACTGGGACCCCAGAGAAGCCAAGGGAGTGTTAGGGAACAGTCAAGTGCAGTGAAAGATATATTATGTTTTCTCTTTCTAGCGTTTTTAGTACTTGTTACCTCTGGTGCGTGCTCTGTTGCTGCCAGGGCGTGGAGGAAGGTAACTCGGTCTGTTCCTTCCAGAGCAGATGTAATTTGCTCTACGTGGGCAGCGAGGACACAGTCATTGCTGGTGGCAGATGGCAGCCGGGAGGGCACTGAAAGGAGCTGCCTGGGGCATCGGTCGAGCTGCAGCCTGGCAGCTTGGACCTTTCCTTTAGGAAATCGTCGCAGCCAGAGCGAAGGCTGCTGCAAAAGCTCAACGCCGGCCAGCCGCGCGCCAAGCCTCGCCACCCGGCAGCTCAAAGCCCAG